ATTAAATGCTTACTTAAAGCCTACAATATATATATAATTTTGTGCCGTACACATACATTTTATTATTCTTTGTTATGTTCTTTGCTCTACATAGGAGTCTTTCTTTATTCCAGTGGTTCATAATAGGTCCATTTTTAATTTGGGGGTAAAAAAAATGAATTTTTTTCTAAACTGAAAAGCAGTTTTCCACTACACATGTTAGCTGGTGACACATAAAGCTTGTACAAATGTGGTCTTCCAAAATGAGTATTTTTTGTATGTATAATAATATAAATGACCAGTTCTTGGCATTGATTCCAAATCCATTATCTAGATGGCATATGTTTTATATTAATTATTTTTTACAGATTGTGAATTTAAACAATGCAGTTGTTGCCTAATGTCCCTACTGTTGCATCAAAATGAGCTATATTAAACACCAAGCGATTAAAAGCAGGTTTAGCTTGTCTGAAGTGGGTTTTGGATGACCTGCTAATGATAATCAGGCTTGTTGCAAATAGAAAGTTTTATTTTTGTGTGCAACAAAGTTGTGTTGTGCAACTTTTAAATATTTCGAGTGTGGAGTGAATGTAATACTGTAGAGTTTAACACAGTGAATATTTATATCTAATGTTGTTTCATTCTAAAAATATATGAATTTATAATGTAAATTCCTAACATTTGTAGTTAGAGCTAATTCTTGAGTGATGATTTTTAGATTTTGCCTTCAGTTTTAATTAATTCTGACACATATTAATTTGAAGGTACAGGAGGCAATGTCCAGAAACGTTGTTGGGTTCCTCCCGGTAAGTATGTGGTCATGCAACAAAATAAATTTTATGGCACTACACCTGCTGCAGGTCACCCAGAGCAGAGTTTCTCAAACCTGTTTCTGGAGGCACATTGTTGAATCAGGTTTTTAATGAGAAAAAGTTTGAAAATAGGTATTGTTGGTGCTGGCCTAGAGCTAAAGGTTATGTCCTTTGCTCAGGGCCACACAGGTTATGACCCTTTAAGGTTTGACCCTGCAACCTTTACCAGCCTATGTCAATTTAGTGGTATTGCTCACATACCTTTGGTGCTTTTATAGGCAAACAGTTTTAAATACACTTCATACAAATTTTTCCATCCTGACCTTGGTCTGTTGTTTACCTGATTTAATTTGGTGAGGATCAGAAAAACTTAGAAGTAAGAACAGTGCTGGGTAATAACTGATTATATGTCATCTGGATTACGTAATCAGATTCCAAAAATTGAGTACTCTGGATTATATTACATTTTAAAATGTTTATAATGAGATTACAATTACTTATGGATTACATGATTACATGCTATTCATAAAATGGCAGTGAATTATTTATTATTTATTGATTCTCCTTAATACTTCTTTTTCTCTCTTTAAAATTTTCCTTTCCAAAAACCTTACTGTGTCAGACCATTTAGATTAGACTAAATTCCCAATATAAAATGTAAATTACCTTGTAAGTAATTTTGCAATCCACGCCCTCAAGCAATTAGCCCATGTATGAAACAAATAATTATGCAAGTTACTAAACATTGGTGATGATGAGTAGCTGTGAAATGTCTTCATCATATCCAGTAACCTTTAATAATTGTTAGTTCTGGAGGGCTGAACAAAAATATTTCAAACCTGGAAGACTTAAGACGTGTAATGTCTTTGCTGTTTTCATGTTTATTAATGTTTGTTCATTTAATGCAGGGAGTCTGAAACATTTTTGTCAGCCAAATCCCTTTGGTATAAAATATTTACTTGAAATATCCCTGAGGAAGTTACTATTTTAATAATTTAACAAGGCATTTGCATGTTCACAGTTCTCTGGTGTCAGTTAATAGTCACATTGACATGCAGGTAAAAAATAAAATATGTTTGTTTTTTAGTGTTCAGGTGTTTTATTTTGATTGCTTTGTTATAACATTTTTTTATATACTTATGACTGAATTAATTATTAGTTTTTTTTAACCCACTGCCATTCTTACATTAACCCCAGTTAGGGAAACCTGGTGTAATGTAATATTTAATGCACTTGATGTTGATATCAAATAATGGAATATATTTCCTTAACCATGGCTTTTTTTATATCAGTATGATACATTTATTGGTAGGTTTAAAACAAGTTAGAAAAGTAATCTAAAAGGTAGTCACAATACGTTACCTAAAATGAGTAAAATAAGATTGTCACAAACTACAATTTGAGAAGTCTCACTTCCTTGGAGACATTTATCATCAAATTCATTATTTGAAAAGTTATTAAAAATCAACTATCTATTTGGTAAGTTTTGTGAGGCTGTCTTAAGACCATCTAAGTTTACAAACCCGATTCCAAAAAAGTTGGGACACTGTACAAATTGTGAATAAAAACCAAATGCAATGATGTGGAAGTTTCAAATTTCAATATTTCATTCAGAATACAACAGATGACATATCAAATGTTTAAACTGAGAAAATGTATCATTTTAAGGGAAAAATAAGTTGGTTTTTAAATTTCATGGCATCAACATATCTCAAAGTTGGGACAAGGCCATGTTTACCACTGTGTGGCATCCCCTCTTCTTTTTATAACAGTCTGCCAACGTCTGGGGACTGAGGAGACAAGTTGCTCAAGTTTAGGAATAGGAATGTTGTCCCATTCTTTTCTACTACAGGCTTCTAGTTTCTCAACTGTCTTAGGTCTTCTTTGTCGCATCTTCCTCTTTATGATGCGCCAAATGTTTTCTTCTCACTTTCAACATTTGATATGTTATCTATATTCTATTGTGAATAAAATATAAGTTTATGAGATTTGTAAATTATTCCATTCCTTTTTTACTCACAATTTGTACAGTGTCCCAACTTTTTTGGAATTGGGTTTGTATATTAAGTTTATATTATCTTTAAATTATATTATCTCAAATTATTATTCATGTTATTATAAGAAACATCAGAGAAAAGAAAAGTGATGTCCATTAGAATAAACACTAAGTCTGAACTGAATAAAATAATCTGTTGATTGGGGCTTGTTCAAATTACTTAATAAAATATCCTAATAAACAGTAATCCAATAAGTCAATGGCCTTCAGAACTACTGAAAACATTTATTAATTTTGAAAAACCGAAAACCATTAAATGCATGCAGTGTAACCTTATTTTTTTCTTATTTTAATGATTTATACCAATATTTGCAATACTTGAGTAATGTTACGGGGCTGACGAGACGTGAGACTTGCGGATCCATTCGCAGAGCTTTATTAGACACAGACAGAGACGTGGTCATACAGCAGGCATGGGTCAGATGAGGGCAAACAGGTATATGGTGGGCAAAACACAAGAATAGTCCTAGGGCTAGCACAGGTCGACGATCGGCAGACAGAATCAAAAGGGGCAAGACAAAAGGGGTGAATCCAGGGAACCAGGCGAAGATCAGAAACCGGGAAGGCTAAGGCAAATGACTAGGGCTAAGGCTAGGGCTAGGGCTAAGGCTAGGGCTAAACAGTTTGTGTGGTGCGAGAGTCAATGAAAAGGAAAGTTCATGGACCGGATTCGTGACAAGTAAGTTGTGTTACCCTGTTTATGAACAAAAATTGTAGTTTTATAATGCTAGCTAATTATTGGTTTTCACAAGACTTTTTTATACTTGCCAAAATAGGAGATGATTTTATGCAAGGTGCAAATTACATCAAAACAAGACATACACAAAAATGCACAGTTAGACCACTTTATTGGCTTTTCATCACTCTTTTGTAGATAGATTTTGCTCAAGGGTGGTTTTAAGACACGGTCTGGCTTGTAGACTGGGAGGATGAGCTGACCACTTTGCCGTCCACCACCTCTTCCACAATAGTTACCATGTAGTCAAGGTTTTGCTTGTGGTTGAGACACTGCAGAGGCAGAATACAAAGATTATTAAATAATGGCCACTTAAAAATTAGAAAGTTAATGTTTAATTTACATACTGTTCTTAAAAGATTTTGTTGTAGTTGTGTCTCACCTTGTAGCCTCTCCTTCCAGAAGTCTTCTGTACTCTGCAATCTCTATCTCCAGTCTGGTCTTGATGTCCAAAAGCATCTGATACCAGATCGGTACGAAGCTGCACCAGCTGCTCTTCCAGGCTGGTTACCTGGAACTGGTAGCCGGACAACATGGCAGCGTAGCGGGCCTGTGTGTCTGCCAAAGTGCCTTCCACACAGGAAAAACGGCGGAGTTGTTTTTCCAAAGTTAATATTTTTTTCCTCAAAAATAGTTGTTTTTACTCTATTTTGAGTGTACAGAGTAAAATGTGTCAGTAGAGTGGGAGCAAAATTATAGAGTAACTGTGACTCCTCCCCAAACTGTTCTCCTCCCTTCGTTGATCCGCCATTACTGTTAATCACGGCCATCGACCGCTGCTGCTTGTGGGTTTAGAAGAGAAGATGCGCTTCTGCTGGATGGTAAAGTAAGTAAAGTTTCAAAGTCTTAGTATTTATTTTAATAATATTCACCTCTGTTTTGAGCTCAGATTATTTTGCCACGTTTTTGAACATTATAATCGAGATCGCTTCATGTTAGCTTGAGAACTAAATTAGGCAAAGTTATCTTGAAAGCAAATAACTGTTAGCTAACATATACAGTATGAACATTAGGAACGTTAATTGACACCAGTGAAACTAGCTAGCTGCCTATCAATTGTCTGTCCACTAAACTATTGTGATGAGTGGTTCAAGTTGTGCACCACATGTACTTGACTCGGTAAAGAGTTAAGTTAACCTTAGCCTTAATTGTATTGTTGGAGCATTTTGATGTGTATTAGGCCTATTCGGACGGTATGTTAACTGTTTCTCATGGGAACTTAAGGTATTTTCAACATTTACAGGGGCTAGTCGGTGATTTTATTTCAATTTTTTGTTTCAATTCAAATTTTACCGTTTGAATCCTTTTTGATCACTGCGCAACACCGTACGATAACTTTTGTGCTTCACTGTAAATTGCATTTTTAATGTACACTTTTATTACTGAAATGCTGGGAAGTAGGCTATTTACAGTGCGTGTAGAACAAGCCCTTCCCGAAGTTTAAAAGAAGAATGTGCAAAGGGAATCATCGCCCTATTCCCATACTTGGTTGACCCCAGGAGCAAATTTGGTTATGTAAGTAGCTGTCGCCTCTCAATCTCTTTGATTTATTTTCAAACATTTATACCCTGATCTTTTCGCAAGGGCCTAGTACAGGAGTTGCAGATTTACAGTAAGAAATTGTTTTCATTTGGGACTCTGAATAACAGAATCATGTTATTGATAAAGTTTAACTGTATGACTTCATTTCAATACTTGTAGAGGTTTCAGCTCAATTCATCCACACATCTGTAGTCATCAAGACTTGGTCATGAATGTGCTGTTAATACTGAATCTGTGTGCAGCATAAACTAATGTACTGGAGTGGTTAATGTATTTGTATTGTATTCATCTTCCAATTAAGTTATGTCAGGTTAAAATAAGCAGGAGGGTGTGTTCAACTCCTTCTACCTAAAAGCCTAAAAATTTTTGTTTATTTTGTTTTCCCTGTCTCCAGGTTGGGACAGCGACATGTCTTCCATTCTGGTGCTGCTTCACCTTTTGCCACCCTCAAGTCAATGCTGCAAAAGACTGGGAAAGATCTCAGCTAGACAAGCATGGGATCGTCTTGTGAAATTCATCAATGTGTAATTTAGAAGATTAACTCTGGATAGAGTTAGTTGTTCACTCATAATTGATGATAAACAACTCTGGAGGGGAGGTAAATTGTGGTAGAGTAAATTTGACTTTCCTCTGAACAGAGTTAAAAAGTCACAGAGTCCATTTCTTTTACCTCTGAACTGAGTAAAATAGTACAAGAGTTAATTTTAAAAAACACTAAATAGAGTCAAATATAACAGGAAAGAGTAAAATATTAACACTAAATTGAGCAAAATGAACTCTGGAAAAACAACTCTATCAAAAGAGTAACTTTTACTCTTTTCAGAGAGGGACCAAATGTTATCTGGCATAGAGTAAAATTTTCTTCAATTTGAGTAAATTTTACTCGGGCAAATTTACTGTGACGCTTTCTGTTGGGGAAAGTTTAGTTATTTTGTGTTCTATGCAGTGTGATGACCAAACTTTACAAGATTCACGTCTGCTTGCTTACCATACTGAGTTGTGACTGTAGCCCAATTTCAAGACTTTGAAGTGTGCATTTAAGCTCTGTTATTTCTGATCTGGATGTTTGGAGAGTTTCTGTGCTCACAGCGACTTCTTTGTTGAGGGCTTCGCTCTGTGAGAGGAAATCCATCAGAAAGCAGTCAGGTAAGTCTTTTGTTGATTTTGATTACAATCTTGCCAATTTTACAGACTAATTCTCATTTTACCTTAGCCTGGAACCAGGCCTCAAGATCTTTGTGGTTCTTGGCAGCAACTACCTCGTAGTGCGCACGGATTTCAGCCATGATCTTTGTCAGGTCTTCCTGTGGTGCCGCGTCTACCTCTACATTGACTTGTCCGCTCATCTGGGCACGTGCTGCCAAGAGTTCCTAAAGATGAAATAACAAACCACTGAGCATTTGCCTCCCATACATTTCAAGAGGAACTAATGAGTGTGAACCAACCACCAACTTACCTCCTCGTGGTTCTTCTTGAGGAAGATCAGCTCTTCTCTTAGACCAGGGTTCCTCAAATCTTACCCTGGAGGTCCAATGCACTGCAGAGTTTAGCTCCAACCCTGATCAAACTCAGCTACCTGTGATTTTCTAATGATCCTGAAGACGTTGATTAGCATGCTCAGGTGTGTTTGATTAGGGTTAGAGCTAAACTCTGCAGGAAAGTGGATCTCGTGGGCCAGATTTGAGGATCCCTGTCTTAGACCCTCAATCTGCAACTCCAGATCAGATCTGGCCATTGTCAGCTCATCCAGCACCCTCCTCAGGCCAGCAATGTCTGCCTCTACAGACTGCCTCATGTTCAGCTCATTCTCATATCTGCACAAAAATGAATCCATAGTAAATGTTTTGGATCCTTTATAAAAATGTGTTTTTTCATAGTGCAAGCCTTTAAGTTGCAGACTTACTTGACCCTGAAGTCATCTACAGCCAGCTTGACATTGTCAGTGCTCAAGTAGATGCCTTCATTTACACCAGTGGCATGCTGAATCTTCAGGGGCTCGGAAAGAAATGCGTCAAAAGTAAATTTTAGATCTCTCTTTTATGAGTACTTGTGTTTTACACTGTTTGAATATATGTTATGCAAAAGAAGAATGATGGTAAATAAACAATTGGTTAACTTTTGTCTAAAGGTAGTTTAAAGATTGACTTGACTAATATGTTCAATAGTTAAGTCACATACCTTGGCCTGGAGGTCACTGATAGTAGCATAATAGGCGCTGTAGTAATGAGCAGGAGGAGTGGCCTTGCTGTCCAGGAACTGGCGAATCTTTAGCTCAAAATCAGCATTGGCCTTCTCGAGGGAGCGCACCTTCTCCAGATAGGAGGCCAGACGGTCATTGAGGTTTTGCATGGTGGCTTTGATGAAACCAAATGAAACCATTTCAACCCTTTGTAGTAAACTTGATTGTTATCAGATCATACAGAACCCTCCCCAGACATGATAAACCTGTTTCATCTACTGATGTGTCAAGATTTACATCAAACTGCCAGGTATTTAAATTTTATTACGTGAAGCCCTGTTTGAGATATTCATTTGATTATGAAATCAACAGATCTCAGGATTGCCCCCTCCAGAGCAGATCATTCGTAGAGGTGGTATCTGTACATGTGGTAGGATGACAGTACAACAAACACTTTTCATGCAAAGTTCATTAGATTTAATACAACGCGCGCCTCTAGTTTTTATCTCTGTTCTTTCATTCATATAATGCATTGATTAGATTAACTTAGATGTAATCGGTTTGATCCAATGAGAAAAGTAACATATTAAACTGCTTACCCCTCAGCCTATAAACCCACTGGGCAAATAAATCTGACTAAACTTAATGACAGAAATGTGAAAGTCAGGTTGAAAGTGAACAGGCAGGTAAAATAACTCCCACAGCATTTAAATTATGCAGAAATTCACTTGTGATTGTACTAGATACATCAAAGGTATCATAAATCATCATGAACTCAATTTAGATACTTTAACCGTTTTATTTTTAATTTTTAACAAACTTTATGTTTTCCCTGTAGATCTGAATGAAATGTTTAACCTCTAAGCTATCAATGCTCTGAATTTTCTTTTTGTGATTTCCTTGGTCTGAAATTATATTAAGAATAAATGCATGTTAAACTGTTTATAATGCCATATAAAACATATAATTGTTTCTTAAGTTCTTTTGTAGAAACAATGGAAAATGGACAAAAACAATATGAGTAGAGATGTCATTGTAGAGTAGCATAGGCTTAAGAACAGTTGTAATCAGCTAAAGGAAAAAATGCTTGTAGCATCAGGTTACAGCTGCCAAACCTGAGGAATACCGTGCAGCTGCACAGATTTTCAAAAGCAGACCAGGTGTGATGTTCACAAATGGTATGAAAGACTCTACAAGTGTACTACAGTGTAACAAACTCTCATGGGATTGTACATTATTGTTCCTCCCAAGTACTCAGCGACCAAGTGACATCTATCTCTGACATGTTGTGTTGTTTTACAGGCAAACAAAGGATCAACTAGGTCGCTGGAGAGAACAGTGTGCAGCAGTCATTATTTCTGTTGCTTCATGACAGGTTCGTTTGATATAGGATGCATTTGCAATCCGCCGTTGTTCAGGGAATCAGAACACATTGGTTGACCTATGTTTTTGATTCACTAAGACAAACCGACTCGCTAAAATCATTCGTTCTGGAATCGGACAATCGATGGTCAAAGGAACCTAAATTCAGAGACGTCATGCCCATTCAAAGTGAGGAGGCACGTGCCCCCTTGTTCTCAGCATTGATAATCAGAGGCGTCATGCCCATTCAAAGTGAGATTTTTGAGGCAAGTGGATTTTGAATGCAGCTTCCAAAAGAAATTTTTGAGCCGATTAATATTTTCTATATTTAATACAATCACACCTGCGTGATTAGAACGTTCAGTGCATCATATCATCAGCTGCTAAATTCAAATCTGCTTTCGCTGGCTGGCACTGAGCCAGCTACAGAAGCGTTTTTACAGCACTGCACATGAACCAATCACACACGATGCTGTTGAGCTTATGAATGCAATGACCAATCAGAGGTGTTCAGATGAGTCATCGCTAAAATGCCTGTGTTTTCTTTACTCGCTCGCTGACTGAATACCTCTTTCTGGCGAATTCTCTCGTCAGAAACAACAAAGTGCAAATGTGTGTACGAATCTGTAAGATATTAATTTCATAGTGTAAACAGCTTCAGTGTTTTTAATGGGAGTTTTTGAGAGAGCTTGAACTAGACTGTCAGTGAAAATGTTCTTTGATAATGTAAATGTTCTTTGCTCTCTTTCTGTACAATGAAAGTGTTATGATTAGGAGCCTAGCTTTCAATGTTAAATTCACATTAAATATAAACTCAGTCGTATTAAAAATATGTTATGGCATGTCATCCATATTTATAATTAAGTAAACAGGTTTTATGCGTAGTTAATAGATTACATTATTAGGTTATTTATATATAAAGAGAGAGAGAGAGCACCCTCACTAATTTAAGAAGCACCCTCAGTGATTTGATTTTGGAGCCGGGCCTGCTCAGGCTGCCGCTTTGCTGCCTTATCAGGCAATGACTTTAGAGGCAGTGTTTTTGCACAAAGGCACCTCACAAAGCTAATTTCAGACAAGCTTCTGAGGCAATGTAATGGTTTAATGATCTACAACAATATAGACCAAGCTTTGGTAAGCAAATATTACAATATAGTAAGCATGCAACATTTTTCTTCTTCTTTTAGTTTTCTGGCGGTTACTCTGAATTTCCTGCATTTAATTAATATGTGCTCTACATTTTCTTTTCAATTACAAACCTCTCATTTGTCTGTGTTTATTTTATTCATAAGAAATAATGTATTGTTAAGTCTTGTATGTCCTAACCGTAGTCTTGCGTATATGATTTCCTCCTTTCTAGTTCTACTATTAACTTTTCTAACTTTGATTGATTTTTGAATTCTGTAATATTCCCTTCCTGTATTTCCTGTATTACCTGAATCCCAACTTTTTTGCCACTGTTTGTCAAAGGTTTTTTTAATTAAGATTTTTCCTTCATTTTTTCCAAGTGGAATATCTATTTTGTCACTGTGATTTAGAGCTATTTTTGCTAATTTATCAGCTTCTTCATTACCTACTATATGTGTGCTGGTACACTCTAAAAAAAAATGCTGGGTTAAATTCAACCCAGTGCTGGGTAAAATAGGGACAAACCCAGCAATTGGGTTGTTTTGACCCAGCAGTTGGGTTACTACCCAGAAGGTTGGGTTAAACATTTAACCCAACCGCTGGGTCAAAACAGCCCAATTGCTGGGGTTGTCCCTATTTTACCCAGCATTTTTTAGAGTGTATCGGCAGCATTTTTCAGCTTTTGGATGCAGCTACATACACAAGAGGTAACAAGCTTAACAAGACACACCTTGGGAGACTTTTAAAACTACAAACTGACTACAAACATGGCACAGGAAACACTTCAACATAAAAGTCCAGTGACACAGGGAACCTGTGGTGCAGTAACGTATAAAGTAAAGCATAAATATTACAATTAGACGGTTTAGATACTGCTGTAAAGCAGCTCTAAAAGACACTAGTGTCACTACTGGGCTCCAGTCAGTTGAGTGTTGGTTCAGATCAGGTAAATAACAGTATAAAGTTCATCAGTTTCAAACAAGTTCTATTCTATACACCGTTTTAATTTCATGTCTTTAATATGTTGATAGGTGACAAGTATGATGAGCACACATTGTGGATTCTGAGGGAGGTAAATGCACAGCTGCAATCATCTCACGAGCTGAACCCTGCCTCAAACTCTACAAAAGCATACTCAAATTGAAGAATCGGATGGCTCCCCTCAGTCAGAAGATGCTGAATAAATCAGCAGGGCTACAACAAAGGTAAACCTCTTTTGTACAGTGCCAAAGGTTGTCTTCATCCTGCCCCAGTGACTGAGGGCAAGATATCTAGCATGCATTGATGGTCATGTCTACATATTACTTACTTTATATACACTCTTTAGGGCTAGATTTGAGGTAAATCTAGAGGTGTATAAGTCTACTGGCCCATGACAAGCCATAGTAGCCATAAAGGTAAAGGTTTTTTTTTGCAGAACATTTTGTACATTAATAATATGAGTGGACTTTCTGTTAACACACACAGGTTTTTTTTAATGTAAATTATTGATAGGCTGTGTATAATAAAAAAAAACTGCCATTTGTATTGAAATGGGTGACTGTTTGGATCTGCACACTTTCTCACGCCTTATTGTTTTTTAATTATTATTGTAACTGATAACTACACTACTGTTCAAAAGTTAGGGATCTCTATGATTTTTTGTTGTTGTTAAGTTTTTTTTTTTTTTACTTTTATGCTCACCAAGGCTATATTTATTTGATCAAAAATACAGTAAAACACTAATATGAAATGTTGTTACAATTTACAATAACAATGTTTCCCCCGTTAGTCATTACTCCAGTGTTCAGTATCACATGATCCTTTATAAATCATTCTGATATGCTGATTTGGTGCTCAAGAAATATTTCTTATTATCAATGTTGAAAACATTGCTTAATATTTTTGTGGACAGCATGATCTCTTTTTTTTTTAAATTAACGTTAAAGAAAGCCAGTGTTGCCAAACATTCTTGGCAAAGCTCTTTTTTTTATGAGTCAAATAACGTTTATGATAACTTCAAATAATAATATTAAAACATTTGAGAGCAAAATAAGACTCAAACACAAAAGCACATTTAAACCAGTTTATTGATTTTTCATCACTCTGAGTTGGGTTGTTTCATCTCAAGAGTGGTTTCATCTCATGCTGGTTGTTCTTGTTTGAAATCTCACTTGGTCTCGGTCACAGCCTGACTGGAGGAGATCACTTTGCCGTCTTTCACCTCCTCTATAATGGTGACCACTTTGCGTGTAGTTGAGGTTGTGGATGAGGATGAGGATGAGGATTGTGTGGTTTGAGCACTTCTGAGGATGGGGGAAAACATAAAGTTATAGACAACTCAGAATCTTAATCTCACAAATCAGGACATAAATGCCTGAATGTTAATGTCTCACCCAGAAGCCTCCCCATCCAGAAGTCTTCTGTACTCTGCAATCTCCATCTCTAGTCTGGTCTTGATGTCCAGAAGCGTCTGGTACTCTTGCCTTTGACGCTCCAGATCGCCACGAAGCTGCACCAGCTGCTGTTCCATGTTGGTCACCTGCATTTGGTAACCGTTTAACATGCTGGCATAGCGGGACTGTGTTTCTGCCAAAGTGCCTTCTAACGACGCTTTCTGTTGAGAAGAATGTCATTATTTTAAAGGCTGTGTGATGCATCAAAACAGCAGATTTCAAGATTGACCTGGTCACCTGCTTACCATACTGAGTTGTGACTGTAGCTCGATTTCAAGACCCTGGAGTGTGCGTTTAAGCTCTGTGATTTCTGATTTGGACGTTTGAAGGTTTTCTGTGCTTGCAGCGACTTCTTTGGTGAGGGTTTCACTCTGTGAGAGACAATCCACAGGAAAACAGTCAGATCAGTCGACTGGTTTTGATTTGGTTTTGGTTTCTTATGACAAACTTGGACTAATGTGATTTTACCTTAGCCTGGAACCAGACTTCAAGTTCTTTGCGGTTCTTGGCTGCAACTGCCTCATATTGGTCACGGATTTCAGCCATGATCTTTGTCAGGTCTTCCTGTGGTGCCGCGTCTACCTCTACGTTGACTTGTCCGCTCATCTGGGCACGTGCTGCCAAGAGTTCCTAAAGATGCAATAAAAACCACTGAGCATGTCCCTCATCAGGAAGAATAAGAGGTTTATTGAAGACTGTCAATCAAGCACCAACTTACCTCCTCGTGGTTCTTCTTGAGGAAGATCAGCTCTTCTTTTAGACCCTCAATCTGCATCTCAAGGTCAGATCTGGCCATTGTCAGCTCATCCAGCACCCTCCTCAGGCCAGCAATGTCTGCCTCTACAGACTGCCTCATGCTCAGCTCATTCTCATATCTGCACAGAAATCAAACCCTTAAGTAAACACTTAGGCCCAATTGAGATGTTTATAGTCAGCTTTTCTCTTAGTTATGTGGACTTACTTGACCCTGAAGTCATCTGCAGCCAACTTGGCATTGTCAATGCTGAGGTAGATGCCTCCATTTACACGTGTGGCATCCTGGATCTTCAGGACACAATAATATAGACAAATTATAAAGATACATCTTGGGATTTATTTGAGTTTAGTTGTAAAATATCTCTTATTTGTCCTAATTACATCCATCTCCATATTTATCTCCGTATTTACAAAAATCTAAGATTTAAACCGTTATCTTGTGCAAAAATCACTTCTATGTTCATTCCACTAAACTGCACAGTGCTGCTTAATTTTTAACACATTATCCATATAAAGATAAGTTAACAAAAAGATACACCTGTAGTTACAAATGCCGTTTAAATTTTTCTTTCTGACAAGACCACATACTTTGTTCTGGAGGTCACTGATAGTAGCGTAATAGGCGCTGTAGTCACGAGCAGAGGGGGACGTCTTGCTCTCCAGGAACTGGCGAATCTTCAGCTCAAGATCAGCATTGGCCTTCTCAAGGGAGCGCACCTTCTCCAGGTAGGTGGCCAGACGGTCATTGAGGTTTTGCATGGTGGCTTTCTCATTTGCAGACACATCAACAGCATCAGACAGGTTGAAGCCAGCGCCACCACCGAAACCAGCACCGCCACCAAAACCAGCACCGCCACCAAAACCAGCACCGCCACCAAAACCAGCACCGCCACCAAAACCAGCACCGCCACCAAAACCAGCACCGCCACCAAAACCAGCACCGCCACCAAAACCAGCACCGCCACCAAAACCAGCACCGCCACCAAAACCAGCACCGCCACCAAAACCAGCACC